CCTAAAAAGGGCCTACGGTTATAACTACGTAACTAACATGGACATGACAGTGAGAAGTGAAACGTATTTTCTAACATTACACGTGCATGTATTATTTTTTTTATTGTTAGTGGGGCGGGACTAAGTCCCTTGTACTGCGGCCACTTCTGGCCTATTGTACCAGCCCCAGATGATAGGTGAGAGTGATTGTGGAGCAATTGGTGGAGTGAAGATTTGCAGGGGAAACCGAAGTACTCGGAGAAAACCTGCCCCAGCGCCACTTTGTCCACCACAAATCCCACTTAACCAGAGCCGGGATCGAACCCGGGCCGCCGCGGTAGGAAGCCAACGACTAACCGCTTGAGCTGTGGCGCGGCCCACACGTACATGTAAGTTTCTAATGTCACACAATGCACCTACAGTAATTCATTAGTCCCCGCTATCATTTACTTTTGCTCTGCGCGCTATAACAAACTGGACTTCCTGTCTATGCGTCCAATTTTCTGCGCAATAACTGGTCATTACAGTGAGTGGACTATGGGATGGACGACCGAGGGATGGAGGTTCATATTCCGGCGGGGGCAGAAAGTTCTCTCTTCTAGGCTACGTCCACTTCGAAATACAGGGTTAGTATAAAAGAAATAGACATTTTCAACGTTTTGTAGCAACCAAAGTATTATTGATATAGCAAAAAATTCTTACATAGAATTTAGTATATATCTTTAAATTTGTATGGCAAAGTTACAAATGTTCTTTGTGTGAGACTTTTGTCACACGACAGATATCAATACGATAACCCAGTTCGTTCTGAACACCGCTCAAAAGACCAGAGCATGGCACTGACAATTTGGCCTCCAAGAATTCCGATCTGACTCCCACTGATTTTTTCTCGTGGGGATATATCAAAGAAAAGTTTTGTTCCTCCACCTCTTGTAAGTGTAAACGCTCTAAAGCAAGGCATTGCAACTGTTAACGTGTGTTGACGAGGACATGTTCCGGTGTGTTTGGAACGAATTGGATTATTGTATTGATATCTGCCGTGTGGCAAAAGGCTCACACATAGAACATTAGCAACTTAGTCATACAAACTTAAAGACATATACTGAAAAACCATGTAAGTACGAGTATTTTGGCTATATCGACAATACTTCGGTTTCTATAAAACGTTGAAAATGTCTATTTCTTTTATACTAACCCTGTACTTCTTCACAATGTGATGATTAATTAAACAAAGAGACAAATTTGTCTTACTACACATGTTTTTATGTTACAAATAGAGTTGTCGAAATTGCAGTTCCAAAATTGCCTAGCTCATGACTGAAATTTGTCTTCACCGAAGGCATTACTTTCTGCTCACCTTACGTGACGTACAGCTTGTAATTAAGTGCCATGACGTCGTTACTTGTTGATTGCATGGTTATAAATAAGCATTTATAGGTGTAAAATTGTTATGACCTTGATATTTTTGTGGCTACTTGACTTAGTGGCCATCGCAGCTGATCAAAGCGCAATAATAAAGTAATTTCTGATCTTTCACCTTCTGTAATTAGAAGAGTTACACTGCATTGCCACACAGATTTCGTGTAATTATAAAATATACTATATTATGGGATGTGACGCCGTGTCTACTGGTACAATTTTCCGGTGGTTCCGAGAAATATACTGGCTCAATCTTTATGGAAGTATAATAAGCATGATTTTCTGCCTTGAAGAAGGAGGCAGCGCGTTTCTCTAAAATATCGATGAACGTCTACCAGAATACACGGCATGGCATCGCAGAAGATAGTCATCGCCGTGTGAACTTCAAATCTCAGGAATAGTGTTTATTCCCTAGAACTTGTATATTACTATCGTCTGATGTGGAGTCTATAGAGAAATGTAGGTCGACATTTGTACTCGTAATCGACCAAGGAAACAAGAACTTATGCCTAGAGTAATGCCGGATAGCACAAGCACAAGTAACAAGTAATCTTTGCCGAAGATCGTCAAAAGTTCTTGCGCTCAAAGCTCTTTGAATAAAATTTTTGCTAAAATGTTGCCAGATTATTTTACTACTTTTACTAGGGCTTTCAAAATTGTGTTCTTTTTTCTTCATTAGCTCTACAGCCCCCATGGGCCCTGGCCTTTGTTTTTTTCAGTTTTATGATCATTTTACAGATGGTAGGACTCCTTGGACAGGTGATCAGCTCGTCGCCAGGCCTCTGCCTAAGCACAGGATCATACAAACAGAATAAACACATACACGTACCAAACATCCATAGGATTCGAACCCACCATCCCGGCTTCCGAGCGAGCGAAGACAGCACATGTTTAGACCGCTTGGCTTCCGTGACCGGCGAAATTGTGTTCTACTTCTTAGAAATATGTTGATGGACTCTTGGAACCGATTGTTAATTACTGTTGTCTTATTCTTTTCCAACTTTCGCTCAAGGACCTAGTACTGCAGCCAGCGTTCCCAAACGAAGCTCACTATTGTCCCTTCCATCGTGTCTTGGGCCTTCCACAGTCATTCTCTCTGACGTAATGATGTCTTGTTTTCTAGAGCACATGTTGCACCTTTGAGACATACAACCGCTGACAGTTGTTGATACACGTAAGTGTGCAGTTCGTTTCTTGTAATCAACTGTAGGGTGTAGGGCCCTTCTTGAGAAGTTGATGGTCTATGCTTGTGCTTTACAACTGAGCTTCTAGTTAAAAATTCTCTGACTGCAGTATTGTTTGTGTCTTATACCTTCATTAAACTCGCCGAAAGGGCACACGAAGTTACATTTGATGCAGTCTGAGTGACTAAGTGGTGGGCCAGCAAGTCAGTTTCGTTTACATTTATATTTATTCTCACAGAACAAGCTCACTGTTTCTACTATTTCTAAAACGATTACGTAAAATCAATTCAAATCAAGAAAGTTTACAGTGTAGTACGTTTCAGGTTATACAGGGTTCATGGTTAAAAAGTAGGCCTGCATCGTATCTGCTTGCGTCTCCCATTCTCTTTTGCCTGTATTTCTTAACTGTGTATCTCGAGAGGGAGAAAAATAAAGGGATTTTCACGTAGTGTGAAGACATTTTTGCCGAGAACGGAAGATTCATACAGGTTTGAAGAATATATCAATATATGATGTAAAGGAAAGAAAACCGATGACATAAATCCAGTAAACATCTTCACATTCTGTTTATTTTAAAATATTATATCTTCAGGAAATGACAAACAAAGCAAAACAAACCCCGTGGCCTGTAGTCCGCAAACGAACTATACCGACCGAGCGACTGCCACTTGTCGGTGAAGTTAGTGCCAACTTTTGTGGGTAGAGGGTGTCACGTGGCCAGCGCAACGGATCCCCAAGGCCGTTAATTTCGGTTTTCTAGACTGGAGACGTTATTTCCTTTAAATAGGTCCTCAATTATCCTCACGAAGCTAAATGTACCCCGTCGCAGACCCACTACTTCTCAGAAAATCTGGTAGCGCCGGGAATCGAACCCGGGCATTGTGGACTTGTAGGCAGGAACTCTGACCACTAGACCACAGAGGCGGTCCAGGAAATGACAAGTATATAAATATCTTTCCAAATAACGCGCGTCACTCGTGTCACTTCATCCGTCAAAGCTTGGTCTATGGCAGTACAGGCTAATAGTAAGAACGTGAGATCCGCTGTTATAATATTGAAGTTCTATACTGTATAATTTACGTATTTTACAACATTATTATTCTAAATCCGTTGTAATATCTGAGCGATTACACCATATTAACATGTTTATTCCGCTGTGAGAGGTCTATTGTATCCCGCGATAAGTTGAAATTGAAGTGCCTCAGTTAACCCTCAAGAAGCAGTAATGAATTCATGCAGCAGACAACAATCACAGAAGAATGTTTGTACAGCCACGCCTGTTAAATATAAACTGCTCCTCTGGAACATATATCAGATAGTCCATGCGTGTGGTGTCCTAACTTATTCATTTGCAATTGATGTGTTAGCATTATTACAGGGTCATATTATTATATTTACATTCTGTATTATACGATGTATGTAAATATAATTTTTGAAGAAAGGGTCTAAAGGTCATACTTCGAATATCTTCAGAGTACAAATTATAATAATTTTTTTTTGTGGTATGATCAGTTGTTATTTTTTCCTAATCTGTTGACTAGGGTAAGGTGATCAGAGGACTGAAATTCAGGCGGTAAGCATTAATTTCCACACAAGTGGGAATATATTAATTTATCTGTAACTTATTCAAACAGTGGTTGTTGGATCTGTTTTCAGTAAACCTCAAGTTTACATTATCATACAATTCTCGATCACAGTTGAATAGAAGATATACCTGTATCAAGAAGGAACTTGGCTCATAATATACAGAGTGTTCATCTTATTACTTGCCCCACATGCGTTCCATGGCGCTGAACACCATCTGCACCAGTCGAGGCTTCCTTCTCCATCTTTAGTAATGAGACATGAGGGTCATTACCTTGTTGCATGGATATTCAGTCTCTGTTGTTGCATGTAAAATTTTCTAAAGTCGATTTGTAGAACACTTAATCCGTTCTTCTTATATCTTATGGTTTCGAGGTTGTTTTTCATTTGATCATTTTTACAGACGTAGGACTCCTTGGACGGGTGATCAGCTCGTCACGAGGCTGATACCTAAACATAGAACAACATAAACACAGAATAAACGTATACACATATCAAACATCCATGCTTTATATGGGATTCGATCCCACGAACACGACTTCCGAGCGAGCGAAGACAGTACATCCCCTTAGACCGCTCGGCTACCGTGACCGGTATTGTAAAGTACGCGGATTTAGATTTTTCTCTTTTATAATTAGTTATCATCATCATCATCCTTGTCATTATCACCATTCCATTGCTTTTCCTCTTCCATTTTTCCTCATGTTTTTTGTCTTTTTTACTTTACTTTGCTTGTGATTCTGTAATTGAGACAAGTGCAGACGTGCATATTGGTCGGCCTCTCTTGTGTGTATATGAGTATGTGTAATTCTCTATTTACATTCTCTTTTCTAGGCGCTGCAAAGTCCTAGGATTCGCGCACAAGGAATTTTGGCGTAAGGAGCGGAGGAGTACACGTCATGCAACATCTCACGTGGCTTTCAAATGCCTTGGAAGGAAATCTGTAAGTACAAAAGAATTTGAGAGTGGTCAATGTGCATTTATGTGTGAAAAATATTTAACGATCTTCTATCAAGAACAAAGATTAGAAGCAATGTGTCGAGTGGGATCTAGTGACAATTGATTAGAGGACGGTAGGTGAACGCGGTTGTGACGGTTGGTTAACGCTTTCCCAGCACTAGGCCTATGCTAGGGACACTGGTAAAAATAACCTGCCAATAATTCATACCCATACGAGGTGCGAACAATTTAACATCTTAAAACCAAATAGGATGGTATGTTCTGTACAGATTAATGAGCGCCAGTAATTTCATCTATGTATGGACTTAGCTTCGAAAGAAGGATAATAGATAAAATTTTGTATGAAGTTGATAACAGTGATATCTCATGATAATAACTACAGTCAGTCTTATCACGCTTCTTATATACTTGTTCAATAACAGACTCCTTCGACTAATCGTAATCAGGCAATTTTTCCTTGTTCAAAATAGAATTAATTCGCTTATGGATCTAAGACCGTAATATTTCACCTCATCCTTAAATCAGTTCTGTCGGAATTTGTTCACTACCTGGCGATTTATATATATATTTTTTTAACTTTACAATATGAATTTCAACCTCAAAAGGACTAGATCACCCATTTCCAGTCTAAATTCTGTGTTGTTCCAGTTCTCGGGTTAATAATCCCAAACTCCCATTTGTGTCCCATCTTCTTCAGTTCTTGGCTGTTTAGCAGGTTCATGTACGCGAGTTGGGCTTACCGGAAGTTAGGTCATGGTGCACTCCGGATATCAAGTACATTGTATCTTTGCCAGTTCTAAATAAGGCATACGAACGTGGCAGATAAACTGAGTAATGTAAAAGATAATCCACCAATTCTCACTTGAATTCAGATATTGATAGAGTCCTTCAAAAAACGAGAGAATATGAGAATACTGGCCGACACTGAGCAGGTAGTCACTGCACCCGCTGGCTTACTCCCCGTATTCTTGGGGATGAAATCTACGTGCACTGAGAAAGCACAAGAAAATTCTGTTTACGGAAACTCTTGCTTTATAAAATAGAGAGTTTATTTATGCTCCGGTAGAGCGTGATCTGCTAACGTCTCTTTGCTTTTTATATTACAAAAAGTGTTTTCAATTCATCTGGCACAGTGTGTTTGATCTGGATTAGAAGTTACGAGGTTCAGCAGTATGGAAAAGAAGTGAAGATTATTGAACATAAAGCAAACTTCCGTGGAACATTTAACTCTTTTTTTCTTTCAACTAAATAACGAAGTCCATGAAGCAGAATTCTCCTTGAGAACCCTGAGAAGATAAGTCACTCAGCTACTCAACGTGTTTCCCTCCATTTTATAGAACTTGAAGGTTAGTTCCTGTGTTTACAAGAGCCCGCTTCCAGTCCTCATCATATAGCAAACTAATTATCCCGCTTCTTTCCAACGTATTTTTATATCCATTTTAATATTGTCAAGTATTTTAGAGACTATAGACGGGTTCTGTATTGGTTGGATTTATTGACCACTTATTTCTAGAAACTACAAACCAGCATAATGCTCTTACTTGTTTTCACACTACAAACCACTGCACACTAGATCTTCTCAGTCTGCTGTCACTAGTCTTCGTAACAGCTCTCAACAATGGTTTCACTATCCGTCTCCTGGCAACGGATTTGAACACAGGAACTCTACAGTTATAATCCAGATATCACTGTAATACGGCACATATAGTCTTCAAATCACGCGCTAAGTCTCCCCTTCACAGGCAGACTTTAAGTCTGAACTAACCTGCACTCAATAATTCTGACGCCTCAGTTCCTCAGTTCAACTCCTCTGCTTCCAAGCTCGTATCCTGGCCTGCTGGGGCTCGAAACTTGACTGACTGCAAACGACATTCGTTGTCCTTTATAAACCTTCGGCTCGGATCACCCAGAAAACCTATCCATTGCCCAGCAACCGATATCCTATATTGTTGACCAGGCATGTTTACCGACACATGGCATAGCAATGGATGCCCTATTGTTGTCATGCGCTTAAGAGGGAAGGTGTTTATCAAGTCGTTGTCTAGCAATGGAAGTTTCTGAGGCGCTTCTCTGTCTGCACACTTCCGGCGTTTAGGCGTCATGTCACAATATTATCCTTACATCTATGTTTAGGACTTCCCAGTGGTTTCTTCCCTTAATTTTTTTTCAGAACAAAACTATATAAGCATATTTATTTGTTCCAATAGCCCTGCATGCCCTTCAATCTCATTATTTTTGGCTTGGAAGTTCTATGAATATACCCTGTTTTAAATTAATTTTGAAAATGAAAAATTAATATACGCCTACTTGAAAAATAAAAATGGAAAATAAATGCAATACAAAAAGAAATTAATTTAAGAAACAAAGAAGATATTCCTTCTCTCTCTCTCTCTAAGGTGTTCACGATGTTGGATCTTCGAGCACCGAAATCTCAAGTTTGGATGTGCACTGTGTTCCTCTGTGTTCTGTGTTCTGTGTTCGCGAGATCTTTCTCCCTTTATTTTCGCTAATTTTCGTTTCCGCGTTTTGCTTCTAACATTTGTTTTCACCGTCTCTTTAATTTTCATTTCCTCTCTTTGCTGAGATATCTTGGGTCACTTTTAGTGAACCTGCCGACAGTTGTGCAGTAGGTGGCCCGGAGCTGGCGTAGATAATGAGCCTATTAGAATTCATAACACTACAACATTAATAAAGGTAACTAAAGAAGGCATCGTCGCCAATCAGAATTACTTTGCTCTGGAGCCCTGCATCAGACTCCTCCACGCTGTCGCTCAACAGCCCAAATGGGGATAATTAAAAAGTCTTGCAAATGGATACAGTAATGGGGCATACTCAGCTTCTCAGGCTTGTATATATTGTCCTGTGTTTTATCATGTTAATGGCTGTTGCATGTTGTGAACTGGTAATGGGTGACCTATTACAAGAACCAATAAAAAACTAAACAGAAGGAAACATGTCTGACACAGTACGAGATTTCTATGTCAGTCCTCATCGTGTCCTTCCATCCAGTCACAGATGACCTTATTTTCAGCCTTGAGGACTGCTGTTTCTTTTATGTAAGCGCGACCATTAATATGAACAAGAATTTCTGCGAAGAACCAATCGCTTACTTTCCTTGAGACGACACGGACCATATAGAAAACGACGAGTTCTTCTGTTGTTGCACGTCTATTATTTGTCGCTGTAAAATTTTTACAGAGCCGTTACCTAGGAATGACAAGGGAATTTTTACTGAGACGTTGCGTAGCAGCGACAATGGGATACACTTATGGACACACAGACTGATGCGAATGATTTGTGAAATAGGTGGTTGAGATGGGCTCAGGTACCATGGTATACATAACAAGTTCCATAAATATTGGTTCAGGCGTTCAAAAAATAATTGAGGAGGGGGAGATACACAGACAGCATGGAGATTGCATAAGCCTACTTTCGTTTTTCAAAATCAGAATCTGAAAATCATAAAACTCAGTGGTTATAAAACACATGACACGGAGCAGTAATATAATATTCTTTGTTGGGTAATGTCATATCTCCTGGGCTACAGAACAAAATGTAGTTTTTTTCGTATATCCTAAAAGTACGGCACATTTTTTAAAACAATTGCTTTCCCGTTTTGACAGTTATACTTCTAAGATAAATTACACGAAACATTTCATAGTACAGACGCGAGCAGATAAAAGAAACACTGACGAAAAATATTCTCAGTTAAATGTTCATTTTCACTTCCATTTTGGTATTAAAAGGTTCCCTTTTATTACAGGAATTTTTAGATTGGCTGTCACTGAAAATTCGCGGGACTCGAACCTTTCCATTTAGTTGAGTTTAATTTGTAGAGCTCTTTAACTGAAAGGTCTATCTAATATTTCTAATAAATGCAGACGTAATTCATAGTTTACGATACAGCCATGTGGATAGCTTCTGGCCCGTACTTCCTCACCTGTTACCTCATTATCTTTAAGGAAATTCAGTCTTGTAATCACTGTGTCCACATGCGTTTATGTTCTAATCATTTCTGAAGGTGGTGATTAAGTTCAGGAGTGTTGGTATGGGTGTCATGCCACTGAATGTTACTCGTCTGTCTACACTTGAACCCCTTAAATATGGTTACCACATGAATTTCTGACATAGACGCAACGCAAGTGTCATCAGTCCATTTTTACAGTTTAATTAATGACACTTTCTCAGTTATATAGTGTAGCGAGGAGTGGGTGTGCAACTGTGAATTATAAATTTCATACAGGGTGCAAGAAAGCGGTCGTAAGGTATTTGGAGATATACACGATTCTGAAGAGACTAAGAAAACCCACGAATATCTAAGTGGGAATGCTCGGTAAGATGAGGGGAAGGGGGATTAGGGATATTGTTCTTCTTTCTCAGTCAGCCACCAGCGCTCATCAGCAACTAATGCTGTCAAAGTGGTGTAAGGAAAATGCTGCTGCTGATAACAGATAAATACAGCAGCGCGGCTGATGCAAATTGGAAGCAGCACTATCTTACCAGAAGCCTGTTGCCGCCACGCTAGATATTTATAGACCTGAGGTGTGAGATAGCAAAATATTCACCTGATTTTAACGTGAAACCTGGAGCTGCAATTTGATGGTCAGCCATTACATGAGGCATAGGGTATTAGCCACTCGGCTTCATGACTTTTTGAGAAAGACTGGTCTGCACTCCGGATTAGGCACACCAACAAAAACGCACGTGTATCGTGGTAATGCTACAGTAAATAAGACTGGATAAGTTGACCTATTGGATGATTTCACAAGTCGTAACATCAAGATTTCTGTATATATAACACAAGCAAATATAACACTCTCAAGGTTACTGCATCAATTATTGAACTTCCTTGAACGGCGTCTACCTGATAAGTCCTCGAATCCTCCAGCTTACGACTGCTGAACTCAAAGTCAAAATCACATGGCGACTGACGGCCAGTCAGTCAGTTAGTATTGGTGTCGAGCCCCATGTGGGGCTCATGGC